TTCTTCCTTCCTTGTAGACCCAAACCGCATGGTACACTTGGATTTGCTCGGGTCCTCCACAGGCTCGCGTAACGGTGCCCACCACGCCCGTGCAGCTCGTGACAGCATCATTTCACCGTCCACTTCTGCGGCACCGAATAGCGTGAAATAAGAATCCAAAACACCAAATCTGCGAGGCAAACATAAATGCATCGCTCCAACGGGTGCCACCGTGAGAAATCACACGGTGGCACGCACACTCTCACTCGCCCTCCCATCAGCGATTGGCCGTCAACAACAACAGCAACGGCATTGAGAAGCAGCCTCGGGACAATCCTGAGTGCCATTCCCACCTCGGCGACAGACCGACTCCGGGAACCCTGCACTCCAGTGCCGTTCCGGGAGGGACTCCTGCCACCGCCAACCGTGTTCCCCTGTCGCGTTGGCACACGGAGCCCGCTTCAGAGAAACAACAGCAGGCTCCATTCAAAACGCGGCTATGAGTGTGCTTGGCAATAGGCGCAGGGCACACCCTCTCAGTTTCCAGTGCCGACTTGCTGCAGCACGCACAGTTGTGCCTCTGTTGTCCTCCCTCGTGCTTTTTCAATTCCATGGCCCACGCTGCGGCAACACGTGCCCCCAGACCTCGTGGTGCCACAACTGTGTCCCGGCACGACGCAGCTGGTCCGGACGCTTGTAGATGCCGTCTGCACTGCGCCAACACAAAAACAACCCCGTGAGGGAAACATTGCTGGCTCCTAAATTCTCCCGACAATACGGGATACCGCCACAACCCCGCAGCCAACACACAACGCACACCAAGCGAGCAACCACCCAAAGAGACACGCGCGGAAGCGGATCCTCATCCACCCATGACACGGCGCCTCACTCCATGCGGTCACACGGAGCACACCATTTCTCGAATAGACCTTATCCTTCGTCCATCCCGCTAAGATACTTCTGTTATTGATAGGAATCAGAGCACAGTAGAAGAAAATGGACAATGCAGCAATAACGCCGTGACACCGCCAGCCACAATGATTCCCTCATACCGGGGTACTTCTCCGATTATGCCTCGTATACACACACACACACAATTAACGTACTATATAGAAATTACCCAACGTTTTCCACCAGAAACCAAACAACCCCACTCCCTCCCTAATTTCTTCTGCCACTGTTATGTTCGATAGCGTTGGACATTTTTGAGACCTTTTTGTAATAATGTCACCTGGTGCTGGTGCACCCTCACCGTATGCATACACAAAAAGTATCCAAGAATACATAACTCCCACAATATTTCCTTACCACAAATCAAAACTGCCCTTTCCCCAATTTGTTTTCCTATTTCGGTGGTTCTTCCTCACTTCGGAGTGCTTCGCCACTTCTAAAGTCTCTGGATGATATTGGCACTTGGTACTGGCGCACCTCTTCCTCCCAGAACGCCGCAATCTCACGGCTTTCATCATCGCTCACATTATTGGAATTGACAACACCACATCCCTGCCAGTCATTCATCGGCGTGCTGTCTGCCTGCTGCACATAAATCATCTCCCACGACAATTCTTGGGATAATTCCTCCCAACCATTAAAATATGCCGCCAGGCGCTCAGTGAACTGCCTCACAGTGCTGGTTGTCGTGTGATGCTCACCCGTCGTAGTCATCCGCAGCCCAACCAGTGTCCTCCGCGGTGAGTTCAAAAAGAAAAAAGGCAGTCCACCAGCGGAAAGCTTGCAACCGCCGGTATGCACAGCAGCCGATGCTTTATACTAGTATTTGTGCGGTATTCCATTGCAACCAATCCACATATAACTCGGCGGGGTGCCCTTCAGAATTTGCCTTCAGCACTGCGTACTGTCCTCCACGACGTGCTGGTGGCATCAGCTCCTTGAGGTCCCCTAATAATGCACCTAAAAACTCCCAAAAAATTAATGCGCGCAAGCCAAACCCTCCCGTACATTCAGACAAAAGAGTACTCTCACCCCCATTACCAGCAACAGAAAAGAAAATACCTTTCTCACTCATCACGTTTCCCGAAATAGTGCGGTATTCGACGCTCGAGGCAAAAAGATACCGGTGCGTTGAGAAATACCTCAGCACAGACTTCTGCTCTTGCTCGGACAACCCTCACAAGTTTGTGAGACGGATCCTCGGAATACCATTTTTTCTCTCCTCCCTGGGTAAAGTCCTTTCCTTGATCCCCAATATTGATCCATCTCAAGGCCCTCTCAACATCCTTCGTGCGTCTTCCATATTCATCCGCATCGAGGATGTGGCGTGAAATCGGCCCCACGTTATCCATGTGTTTTTCAACCATCTCCCAGTATTCCGCTTGCTTATCTGGTTCCAGACCTCGCGTTATCCAAGCGCACATCGCCTTCACATCCATCTCGTCGGGGCAATTCATGATGATTCGACTGGCTTTTGTTTGCTTCTCCCACTCATCATAGTTGGTTGCCTTTGGCGATGACACCACAATCATGCCCCATCCGGTGGAGGGCGCAAAATGTCTCAGTGGTGGCGTTCCTTTCTTTGCCACATCGTAAATAATGTACCCCTTCATCCCGTGCCCCCTCAAATTTCTCAACTCCGAGATGCACATGTCCTCATCACTGTAGCTTGTCACGATTTTGGTGGTCTTGTCAAACACGTACGCATCTCGTCCACCAAAACAGTGGGCAACAACTTGGATTTTCTCCACATCGTAGTGCAGCAGTTGGTAGAGAAGGTACGAGCCGGCAGCCATCGACTTCCCGATCCCGGGCGTCCCAATCAACACACGCGGCAAAGGTGAAGAATTGAGAGTCAAATCAAAATTGCTGAACCACTCGGTTAGATCGCGCTCGACGATCTGCCACACACGATCCACCTCGCAGTAAATAAAGAAGTCATTACCAGCCCCACGCAGCAAATTCAGCGTGTACGGCCATCCCTTTTCCGAGGTGAGCACCATCAGCCTGGGAGGTGCTTCACCGGATTGCTGCACACCGTCATCCTCTTCGAAGGTGTCGCCAACTTTCTTGTAATTCCATGAGTGTTTCGGTTTCCCCCCCTTCGCCTCCATTTCAGTCCCCTCGCCGCCAGAAACCTCCACGACATGATGCCACCTCGCATTGTACACAGACTCGTACAATCCCTCCATTTTCATCGCTGCAATCGTCGTCATTCGGTTCCTCGCTTCCTGAAGGGCTGCATCCAATGAGTGTTTAGTGAGTTTATGAACACTTGCCGTTACCTCCGCAGCAGCCACCAACCAATTCAGTAGAGTGTCCACACCTTTCTCGTAAAGCTTGTGTACATCCTCTTCCATATCCATTTCATCCCTTACAGTCCTCTCCATCATCACATAACGATCGGATGCCTGCATTTCGCCCAATACTCCCGCATCGCAAATATACTTCTCGGGATCCTTTAAAACCCCTCCTGCAAGAATTTCCGATTGGCGTCCACAAAGCCCCTGCCATCAAATCTCCTATTAAGAGGCTCATTCAGCTTTCTGTCCATGACACAAACTTTCCGTTTAAAAAGTACATCTTCAGTCTTAGTTACAACGGTGAATTTTCTTTCGCTGCTCCGAGTATCCGTCTGGCATTTCAAGAGCTGAATCAAGTTTTTGCATTGCCCGGAAATTTATCGTGTCTTTCCTCTCATAGTCCCTCCATTGATGAAGAAAGAACACACCCTCGTGAAGAAGTTTGTACACCTGGTAGTCTGTCAAATTAAGAATTCCTTCAAGAAGCTGCCGGCCTTTTACGTAAGCATCGAGTCTCCGAATAAACATCTCCCCCGTCGCATTGTGGTCTTTCATCAACGGTCGTCCTGGAGCCAATACAATTCCACAAAAATATTAAGCTTCAAGCTGGTGCTGAGAGTATCTCCGTCTAGCATTAGATCTTCCACCAGGCTGTCAAGAGTCCACGACAGTCACTCTTTACTCCCCGCCACATGTCGAGCTGCAGCGTCGGAGCCAACACAGATGCCGCTGGCTCCAAAGGACAGTCGCGGCTGTTTCGTCCCGCAGTCCCAACGGCGTTGGGCGTGGCACTCGCACGGCTCGGTGGTCGGTGCGCCACGCAGCCGCACTGCAACGCCTGTCGGTGAAACAGTCAAGGCCCACAGCCCCCGCAGCAACGCAACGTGCAATCGGCCACAACACCGCCAAACTATTCTCCTTTTTTTATTCTATTTTGTTCACTTTGTGTGTCTGTTTGCCCCATCACCGACACCAAAAATAACTGCACAACTTCACAGAGGAAGAAATCTTCTGGGCCGCCGGCCGGATCCTGTAATTGCTCCCCAAAAAAAAAGGAAAAAGCGGTAAATAAAGTAGTGAGTTCTCCGTAATGTTTGCCCCAATATGTCCATGTATACACATTCCGTCAATCACTGCCCTTGACTTCTGCAGATGGTTAGAAATAAAAACAATTATCCCCCACGAAGTGGCAGGCCTTTGAGGCTCCTCCAGCCACAAAAAAACGCCGCAAGGTGGGGATCACAAAGTGTGTGGTTGTGAAGATAAAAATAAAAAATAAAAAATAATAGTTTCGTCTGGCAGCTGTCGGCTCCCTGACTCCCTCAATCGCGGTCTCCCAAAAGACAGTGCGATAAAAGAGAAAAAAGTTGTGAAGAGATATCTTCGCTTGCGCGAGATATGAATTTATTTGGGCAGCCAGCCATCCTCTCAAGCATTCTTTTCACAAAATCCCATGAAAATAAAGAGAAATTCCGCGGCCCCTGTAGTGCGCAACAGCCTCTAGTGACGATGCGCCTCTGGTGGAAAAAATAAAATAAAATCAAAAAAGAGGGTGTGGTGAGTGTGGCACTGCCGATCACAACGGTTCTCTGAAAAGAAAGGCATTCACTGTCTAGACCCCGTAGGCACACACATATAAAAATCGTTAAAATAATTAAAAATCGTTAAAATACTCCCAATATATTTCACTATAAGCAAAATGCACTTTGCTTCTACTTATTTTTTTTTAATTTCCTTGCCTATCCCATTTCTAAAAGATTTCTGTATTCACTTTGCTCGGATTTTATTTACAAAATCAGTTGTCAACGCAAACTGGTATTCGTGTACGTTTCCGTTCCAGAAGGCCACAATCTCTTTTTCAGCGTCGCTCAAATTTTTGGTAATGACGGGACCACATCTCTGCCAGTTCGTTATCATTGTGCTGTTTTCGTGCTGCACATAAATAATCTCCCACGACATGTCTCGGGATAATTTCTTCCAGCCCTTAAAATATGCCGCCATATTATTTTTGAACAGATTCACAGTGCTGGTTGTCGTGTGGTGCTCACCCGCCGTAGCCATCTGCAGCCCAACCAGCGTCTTCCGCGGCGAATCAACAAAGAAAAAGCCGTCCACCAGCGGAAAGTTTTGAGCCTCCGGTTTGTACATAACCCGATACTCCATCGGAATCCTCGTGACACCGTTTTCCAGTTCCCCTAATCCAACGGTGCGAGTGGGGTGCCCTTGATGGTTTAACTTCAGCACTGAGGACCGTGGTTCGGAAGGCGATGGTGGCGGCAGCTCCTTGAGTTCCTTTACTAATGCACTGATAAACTCCTCATACATGAAAGCGCACCAACCCAATTTTTTCCAGATATGTGGGAAGCAAGAGTACCCACGCGATGCCAACACTAGCAACAAAATATCCTTCGG